CAGATCCAGGTATCTCAGGGCACAGTAGCGATTGTTGACTATTTCAGTCGTGGACTTCACGGAGATAGCGATGTAGCTTCCTGGCGACTGCAGTTCCGCTTTTCTCCTTCTCTATCTTCATATTAGTACTTTATTGTTGTTTTCAGACTGTTTTGGTCTTGTCTTGTGTTGGAACTATTGTAGCGTTTCTCGTGACTTAATGACACCCAAGGTCGGCCTTATATTTTTTCCGCTTTGTTGATTTTAACTTTATATCTTTATCGGATTTCAGTTGAAAAATGGTTTTACTTAAGTTTTTTTTAAATGAAATGTGGATTAAATTGGAAATGTGTCAGCTGCCCTAGTTCATGATAGGCGTCATCACGACCGGGTTGGTTTGGGATCGTGACATGTATTTGTAGATATTTTATCTACATTGTGTAGATATGTTGTAGGTTAACAAATTTTCTTCGTGTCACTGTAAATTATTGTATTCTTGTATATTTTGTAGTATAAATGTAGTTATATTGTTACCTAGTTTTAAAACAAGTTTATTAACTTGTTGTTTCTTTTGCTGCAAAATCGAAAGTTTTTTGCACCACATGATTTGATTATGGCATAACCAGGTTCCAGACATTATGCGACCCTACTATTCCTGGCCAAATTAAGGCTTTACTTTCTGAAAAAGGGTTGAAGTTGTTCAAGAAGATATGTTTTGGGTATTTTCTTTCCTTGCCAAAAATATGTATCCAAAATCAAGCAATTCACCTTCTTATGAAGTATGAATTGAATGCATCTGGTTTCGACTTTTTTACAGTAGAGAAAAAGGGTAAGAGGTTGAATTTTGGGTTGAGAGAGTTTGCCCTGATTAGTGGCCTTAGTTGTTTCACAGAAGTGACGGACTTTGGTTATACAACTATGTATGACAGTAAAATAATGAGGAGCTATTTCTCGAACAAGGAAAAACTTGAGAGGTTATACTTGAAATAAATTATAACCAGCCGTAGTTGGGTGAACGATGAGGATGCAGTCAAGCTGTGTATTCTTTATCTCATTGAATTCTTCATATGTCCTTCAGACAAAGAGAATTTAGGTTTGATAGATCATTTTAGGTTCTACTTGGTGGACTCGGGGCAGTATTCGAACTACGCATGGGGTATCCAATATTATACACATTTGCTTGAGTCCGTTAGGCACAAGCTCAACCCTTCTGTGCATTTTTATCTCATTCGAGGTTTTGCACTAGCTAGGCTAATATGATTGTATGAGTGTTGTTGTACGGTCAACACAGATATAGCTACAAGATTTGCTAATTTGATCCCCTGCGTACTTAACTAGACAGCTAGTAAGGACAAGATATGGTTATCTGCATTGGAAGATAGAATGATCAAACAATGATAGATCAAGGTAAATGTTTTTCACTTTTGCGCACGTAATTTACTACAAATTATCTACAGAATTAATACATATTATGAGTAGTTCTTTCACATTTTTTCACTCAGTTCTCCAACATAATTGAAGCACCAGAAGAGCTTTTAAGAATGAATTTGCCAGATAAAGTTGAATACATCCTTGTAGAAGATGAAACAAAGTCCGAGCATCCGATAGATTCTCCATCTCAATCCGGTCATAAGAAGACAATTGGAAAAGATGACAAGAAAGACATTCTGAAAGAAATTAAAAAATTTAAAAAAAAAGATGTTGATAAGGTAACATCTATACATAATCCTAGATGGTTTCTTATTTTTATGTTATGCATATTTCGTTAACTCTTTCTATTTTAATATGTAGGTTAGTTCAGACCTAGGAACTTTCAAGAAAGATTTTTTTAAAGAACTAGGTAGTATCAACTACAACTCAAAGATTCAATCAAGGCTGTTTTAGAGGCGATAAATACACAGAAGGATAACATTGATGCTAAGGTTTCATTCGAAATATAGTCATTTTAGACAACAATTTTTACAATTTCTAAGTATCTATTATCATTCATAAAAGTATATAGTCTAATAAATTATTCTTGTAGTTTACTGGCAGTTCTACGAAAAATGATGAGCATTGCAAAGAAAAGAACAATCAACACATTTCAGACAGTAGTGCTAAACTAGTGGTGGCCAGCAGTAGTAAAAAAGTATCTACATTATCTTTACATTATTTCTATATTATATCTACATATGTCCCAACTTACTAACAATTAATCTACATTATATTTTCAATGGTTTTCTTAGATACAGGATACCTAAATGACATTCGAATTGAGAAGAATATTCTTGTAGGTGTTGATTTCCTTCCAAATTATAAGGGAAATTTGAAAAATAAAATACAGGTATGATTTAGTACATGTTATCATCATATTTCACATCTTCCATATCAAATGCAGGACAATATTTCTACAAATTTACTATACTTTCACTATAATTTATCTACATTTTCGTTAATGCTTCCTACAAATATCTATAAATTAATTAAGTTGCGCACATTTATTGTAACGGAGAAGGAAACTATGCATGTGGACTCTCCAAAACAGGAAGCTAATATTGCCATTATGGGAGAGAATTTAAATGAGGAGAAGGAGACAACAAAAATTCAATCTTCCATTCAACAAGAAAATGTTATACAACCAGGAGACGATTGATGTGAACATTTCAGTGGTATTATATATTACATTACAGTTGTAGGGGGAAAAAGGTTTTGACAATTTGTTTCAATTTTTGTTGAAGAACTTATGCAACATTTATTCTTATTCTTTTATTTTAAATTTTGAAGGTGAAACAACCGAGTACATTAATGTAGGTGATTCAGATGACTGCAGATCTGAAAAGGGGAAGTAACACTTGATGATTTTGAGCTTCTAGAGAACTCCCATATTGTTAAGTTTGGCGAGCCTATCCAAGATGACACAACCCCTGCTTTACAAGCAAGAACTAGGCAGCCTGAAAAGCATGCCAGATCCCCATTTCTCACTTTTTACAGTTTTGGGGGGAGCACTTTAGAAGGACCTCCAATTTTCCTCATCAAGCATCCATTTACTGGGGTTATTGACGACGATGTTGATCCTGACTTGTTGGAAGAATTCAATAACTGGTTATACTCTAGTACAGACACGATGTCAAAAAGATTAGATTATACAAGTTTTCATATTATTGAGTTCATACAATCTTTTGATTTCCAGTTGAATCTACATATTTATTGTAATTGCTATATTTTTAAATAGGAGGAAGGCGCCTTATTCTATAAAAGATAACCCGATTAAGCCGTGGTATGAACTTGGAATGGAGAAAGTTGATAAAAGGAGTGGTTTTACACTTTAGTACATCCCGGACAAGTCCTCAGCAACACGGTAAACACATACCTTGGCAGAATAAAATGACTAGTTGTAGTATTCTATTATTGGAGAATATTGTAGCTTTTTGTTTAAAAAGTGTAGTTAATTTGTTTGAAGCGTTAAGAAATAATGAACTCTATTTTTCTTTCAGCGCATTGATGTTATTTTATACTATTTGAGGAAGAGAGGAAAGTATGGTCTTGTGAACAAAACATTTTTTACAACCACTAACTGTATTTTCAAGACTAGAATTGAACAAATTCATGAAACATACATTAATGCTCCTGACGATAAGAAGCTTGTTGTTGTCAAATCCAAGGACGTCTATTGGGGTACAGGCTACTTGCAAATGTTGCATGAGATCAAGTTGATTTTTAATTATGCCCATAAATATTGTAGAAAAATTTCATCGGTTGTTGGTTGTTTTTGACATTACCGAAAGGGTTCTATATGTTTATGATTCTATGGTCTCTTCACACAATCACATCATTGTTGAATCTTTTGTCAACAAATTTGCAACAATGATCCCCCTATACTTGTCATCCACCAGCTTCTATGGCAAGCATCCAGACATCAACTACAAGAACACAAAGGCATACATTGAAAAAGGTGTTACTGACCCTCTTGATATTCAGTGGTTGGTCGGTGAGATACCCAGCAAAAAGAGGGATCACTGTATGAAAAAGTTATTTTTCCTTCTATTTATTGAACATATTTTATTCAACCGCTAGATGCTAAATCTTTTTTCCTAATTTCCATTTGCAGTGACTGTGGTGTATACGTTGTGACATTTGTTAAATATGTCAGCATTGGAGAGCTATCAATTTCAAAGGAAGACCTTTCTGATATTGATCAACATCTAGACGCTATGGAGCTCTACTTTGGGATTATGCTAGGAAAAAGCAAGAGATTGGTGCAATTATTGAGAGTGAGGTACTGGAAGATTAGCAAGAAGAAAAGGTCCACCAGCTGCAAATGAGAGAACAGAAGTCCGGAAGAAGAAGAAGAATTAGTTTCCCTATTCTGTAGAAAAATTGTAGTTAAAATGTGAAGGTGTAGTGCGTTTGTAGTAAAGTTGCAGACAAATTGTTAACTTAGAACAAGTCAGTTGAAACATATTTGTAGCATATTTGTGCTACAATTGTTTTACCTTTAGTTTTATTATTTTTGTCCAGGAAATTACTACTTTAAATCGAAAACACTATAAAGATCCTTTTTTGGTTCAAAATTGTTAGTACTTTATTCAACTACTTTTGTTTTGTGTTGTTACCCTTCGTTTCATTATTTTTAGCATATAATTTCTTTACAACTTAACTACATTTATGATGTTTTATTATGTATTAAGTCAGTGGACTGGGGAGATATTGATGTCCCTAGGATGCGGATTTGCAAATGTTCCTTATTTGATTAGTCTGTCTAAGAGTGTTGCAACACTTGCTAATTTTACAGTTGAGTTTTGTGAAACTGGGAATGTCGTTCCCATTCTCTTACTATTGTTGTGATGAATCCACCCTAAGGATGTTGGCTCAAGAAATGTAGTTCAACAAAAAAACTACGAACCAACTGCATTAAGAGTTGAAAATATTTCATTATAGGAGATGGTCTATATTCAATTTATCAACAGAATTACAACTCAACTATAATTCTCGAGAACACCTCAATACAATCTATCAAAATATTATAGTTACTTTATCAATTTTTATTTCCTTTTGGGTGCATTCTTATAAGATCTTTTGTTATGACCTTCTAGCCCACAGTTTTCACATGAAACCTTGTACTTCTTTGCTTTTACTTTATCAAATGGTTTGTATCTTTGTTTCTGAGGTCTCCCTGGCTGTCTTTTCCAAGTTGGTGGCTTTACAACTTCTTCGGCTACATATTGTGGCACATTCCATTTGCTTTCATCAGGCAGCGGGTCTACTGGTGTTTCATAAGTCTTCAAAAGACTCTCCCTCGTGTAATAAGTAGAACAATTATTTTCATAAGACTCATCCCTATGCCTCAAGGCCGCCAAAGCATGTGGACAAGGAAGTTCGTCAAGCTGGAACTGTCCACAACTGCATCTCTTGTTTTGAAGGCAAACAATAAAGCGCTTCGCACCATCTAGCACTGTATGGATGTGATCTATTGAAGCCCTCACCTACAAATTCATTACAAGCACACAACTAATTGCCAGTAATATGTACAAAATAACAAAAAATTTACTACGAGTTATCTACAATTAGCATTATATATTTAGTTTGATGGAATTGTTGATCTGATGTTACTGGATATAGCTTACTCTCATCTTCTGCGATAATGTCTTGTTGTCTTCCAACTCTTTGTTGTATTTTTTCCAAGGTATGTGAATGTACCCCTTGCTTTCAATACCTTTTTATTATTCCAACTTTCAAGAAGAGTCCTCATGTACCCTAATAGGTCTAATATGGACAACTCTCTTGCATCTCTTGTTACCGCATTCAATGACTCTGCAATGTTTGACGTCATTGTCCACGTTCTGTTCACTGTAGCATGTACCTGATACCATCTGTGGTAGCCAATATCGTATAGGTATGCTTTAATACGCACATCGATCTCGTCAATCTTTGACATTCTTTCATTAAATTTATCAATTGTGTATGATCGTGTTGTGGCAAAGTACACTTCGCTTAATTTTAGATGACCCTTCTTAAACTTTAACCTTACATTTGTCCAAATGTGCCACATGCAAGCATAATGTGGCGTTCCGGTATAAACTGTAGATGTTGCCTTCAAGATACTCTCATTCCGGTCTGAAACAACACACATATTAGGTTTTTCACCATACACATCTTTGAATTGCTCAAAAAACAAATTCCATGTTGCGTCATTTTCTGAATCAACAACAGCGTATGCCAGTGGTAATATGCTACCTATCATACATGTGGCAAAAAGAAAATCAATTTCTGTAATAAAATTTGACAGTATAAAAAGTAGATACTGAAAACAACTTTACAACAATATTTCTACAAAGAATCTACAATACCTGCTGCATCCATTGTGTTGGATGTTAACATTATTTCCCTGTATGCCGACTTCAAGAAGGTTCCATCAACTACCACAACTGGCCTACAATAATCCTAACCCTTGATGGACATACTAAGCACAACAAATGCGTACAAGAAATAATCATCTTCGGTCTTCTTCAAATTAACTATCGTCCCTGGATAAGTGTCACGACCCAAACCCCGCTCCCGTCGTGATGGCGCCTCTCATGAAGACAAGGCCAGCCAACAAACCCATATCGCCTTTTCAAAAATAGTTAAACATTAATAAATATTTTAAATATGATTTAATGATATAATTAATGGAA